TTCTCCTTTTTAAAGTCTTTGGTGATTGTACACGTACACAGGGAACAGAAAGAAAAGAATCTCACACTTTACTTTATAGTAAAAATAAAGAAGGGAGGAGAAATAAGAGATGGGTACCTGAACTGGCCAATTCCCCGGTAGGCGTCCTCGAGTTTGCTCTGTCTGTCCACAGACATCTGACAGACCTTCTCCCACTCTCTCTCCAGGTCCTGCAACTTCTTCTTCAGGACTGCTCGATCTTCTCCTGTCTTCTGCTTCATGAGGACTCTTGGCCGCCTTGGTGACTGCGTTCCTACTGGACATTCTCGCCCCCAGCTGCTTCTGCAGAGCCTGAGGGATCGACATTTTATAGGTGATGTTTGGTGCAGTATAAGCGATTGCTAGTCATGCAAAATAGTATAAGGTGAAGTAGATTGCTGCCATGTTGTTGTGTTGCCATTGATAACCGTACTAGCATATCAAACCGTACTATGAATAGACTAAAAGTGCTTTGCTACTTTATGGAAAAAATCTTCTGGGGGCATAATGGTGATAATAGTTTAACCCTCGGCGCGCATGCGCAGCGAGGGTACAGTAGCTTGGGTCTGTCTGTCTGTCTGTGTGTGTCTGTCTGTTACTCTCTATCTCACTCCTCGAACGTCTGTTCGTCCCAGAAACGATACCATCTACCCAACGGGCGACGAAGGTCAGAAAATAAAGGCGGTTTTCTCTGAAAATGCTCCGTTGCAAAGCTAGAGCACGAAAAAGCCAATATGCAAATACGCAACGGACGGGATGGCTTACCGCGGTCTGATCGATCCGCGTGCTCTGCGACCTCGGAGGCACCAGAAGATGCAACGCAGGGCGTGTATCGCCTCTCGCATGCTGTCTAGTAGTGTATAGTTAGCCCGCGTCAGACTCTGCGCGAGATGGGCAGAACTAAACCCAGCCCATCAATTAGTGATACAGCGCATGCGTTTACTCACGCGTGCGCGTCACAATGCGCCGAGGGTTTGCACTTCAGTGCTTTTCATTAGGTGTCATGATGATCGAAATACATGTATGGAGACAAAAGAGACGAAAGATATATACAGATCGAAATTGGTAAGGAGGTATATAGAAGTTCACTGTTTTTGTCTTAGTTTCGTACCTTGTGTCTAGCCAGCTGAGCAGCGACCATGTCAGGGTCTCCTGTGATGGGCTCAGTCTCTCCCAACTGCCTGAGGGCGTCAGTTAGCCACGCCCACAGCTCGCTGTAGGCATCTTCAAACTCCCCCAGGGACAAAAGAGACTCCTCCAGACTCGACTGTCTCTCCATCGCCGCAGAGTTGAGCCCATCCCACATCGCTCTGTGGGGTACAGGACATGCAGGTATTCGTTTGCTCTCTTTGGACAAATGGCTTTAAACATAATTATGAAGAATTAAGAGAGAACTGTGGGAGCGAGTTTTTAAATTCATGTTTGTGGCTTATAAACAAAGTCTTGTAATGCACTAGCTGTATAAAACTAACTTGGAGAGGGCAGGAAAAACAAGGACGGTGAAGTGAGAAGGTACTTAGATAGATAGGTAAAATTTAATGAGCGAGAGAGTGTCTACCTCATATCACTTGTTCTCTGCAGAATGACCTCTTTATCGTCAGGCATGCAGCCACCAGCCAACAGGAGCCCCAGTCCTTCCAGAGTATCCAACTGACCTTCCAGCTCTGCCACACCCTTGAGGAACTCCTGCAATCAACACAAGTAGATTAGGTATCAGAACTGCCCCACGCAGTATCGAGTTTCACACCGATCTTTTGTTACAACTATAGCTCAATGTGAGTTCATGCTAAGTAAATCCTTATGGTGATAATAACTTTTCTCTACTGCTTGTAGGAGACACCCTATTGCTATACCATTAGTGAAAAAGCACACTATCTCTGCCGAATGATGAAATTTCAACATGAAAAAGATTATTTTTATTTCTCTTTAACATGGTATGTTTATACCCTTGCAAACAGTTCGGTCAGAAGCCAAACTATCATTATTGACTAGTACGCTTTCAGAATTCCGAATATGAAGTGGTTTTTTTTAAAAACCTTGTTCTCCTCCAGTTGTCTCTTGACTACCTCCACCTCAGAGTGGATGGGCTCCTGGGCCCTCAGTGTCGCCTCCTTCTCCTCCAGTCTGGCTGCCAGGGATCTGTAGCTGTTGTCAAACTCCCCTGCCTTCTCTCTGGCCTGTTGGAGCTGGACCTGGGGCGAGGCGAGTAAGGTTGCGTGGGCTACTGCAGTTGGCAATCTTTAATCTTAAATATAGCATACTGAGACAGGTTTTATAAAACAGGATAATGTACGTACTATTTTGTTTATATACGTCACAACTACCTCACGTATAAAGTAGGGACTTCGCATCTACAAGACTAGGTTCTTTTAAAGATCAGGTATAATACTGAACTACTTTATAGGTCAACACACACGTTACCAGCGAAAGCTCAATTTCATTTAAATTCGTCCCAATGACTGTTTGTGTCTTGATTATAATACAGACCTGTCTGTCATCGATGGCTCCTCCCAGTTCATCCAGTCTCTGGGCCAGGTCCTCCACCCACAGGTCCACTCTCTTCTGGTCATCTGGCGTCCCCTGACCCTTCAGCTCCTCCCCCTCTCCTCTCAGGGCCTCCAGCCCCTCCTCATGGCTCTGAACCTCTCCCATGAACACCTGTATACGTAGTATCTTTTACATGCTGCCTAGCAATTAGACTGCTAGAGAGCCTAGAAACTTTCTGCCATTCTGATGGAGAATCTAGAAAAACTTCAGCCATTAGACTGTTGGAGAATCTAGAAAACCTTCAGCAATTAGACTGATGGAGAATTAGAAACTTCTGTCATTAGACTGATGGAGAATCTAGAAAACTCCAGCCATTAGACTGATGGAGAACTTAGAAAACTTTCTGCCATTAGACTGATGGAGATCTAGAAAACCTCCAGCCATTAGACTGATGGAGAACTTAAGAAACTTTCTGCCATTCTGATGGAGAATTTAGGAAACCCTCTTCCATTAGATTGTTAGAGAACCTATATAGAAACCCTTTGCCATAATTATACCTCGTGTTCTCGTATCTCCTCGTCGCATGTCTCAGGCAGTCCACAAGGAGTCCAGTCAGCATAGGCCCGCCTCTCCGCCTCCGTCAACCAATCAGATTCCCTCTTCCAGTTGTCGTGGAAACGTTGAGCCCTCTCGAGAGCAGTGTCCAGAGATGATCTTCGCTCAGCTGCTAGAGCCTTTAGATGATCCCATCTGGGAGTGGAGCATAAAAGGTACGTGAAGCCCAATAGAAATAATACAGATGCCAGTAAATTCCAGAGCAGGAGACGTTTATCGATAAACTGTGATAATCACACTAAAATTAGCATCGTTGGTAAAAAACTTTGTTCACATCAAAAAATTTTCAGATGTCTCAAACTGTTTCCTTAAAAGTTTCCATTATTGTAGTATGAACAAGAGGCAAACGCATGCTTTGGAAGGACGACTATGACGGTGCGACGATACTCACTTCTCATTGAGAGAGGCGATGTCTTGTTCCGTTTCGGCTGCTGTGTTCTCTGCCGTGTTGGAGGACATGAGTTTCTGGGCCGCCTCGTTCAGGGAGGTGACTGTCGACTCGTGGGACGCAATGGCCGAGTCCAGGGACTATGGCACGGGCCAGAGAAGAAAGACAATGTACAAATACACTTCAGACCCATAAGATAGGGAGACATTAATGTACTTAAAAAAAACTGCTCTTAGTGTAGCGCTTAAAAAGCCAATATACATTCACAATTACAAATCTACTTGCACAAGAGTATATACCAAAAACCCTAATGCAAAAACCCTCCCAGGTAAGGAGAGATGTTGCAGATAGTAATTTACAATTATTGTAAATAGAATAAGTATTTGAGTTATGTAAGTGCTGGAAAAGATGGCTTTCTAAAGTTACGTAATTGCAAAATTCCACATGGATACCTTCAGTTCGTTGAGTTGCATCTCGACGGCCTCAGTCTTGATGCCGGGGGGAGGAGCCTCCGATACTTTCCCCGTGGAGTCGGCGATCCAGGAGAGGAGCTGGGCGAGAGCATCGTGAAACTGGCCCAGCTGGAGGAGGGCGTCCTCCAGCTGGTGTTTCCTGTTCAGAGTGTCCGAGTTGAGTTTGGCCCACGCCGCACTCAGCTGATCTAGTTGCTGTGTTACAGCTGGTCCATCCTGTAGAGGTACGTAGATGAGAAAGAGACTTTTAGAAGGATGTGCTTTGTGTGATCGTGCGCAAATCCCTTGGAGCAGTATTGTGTGCTGAAGATATTGGATTGTCTATATGCAGTCCACTTCTGCTCTAACTTGTATAATTATATTGAAGTAAGTACAGTGATGCTGCATTACATCATTGGATATAAACACGTAAAAGTGAAAAGGCATACCGTCTGTGTATATGCTAAGTTGAGTAAAATCCCAATACGATAATGTGTGTCACACCTTGGCAGAGCAGGCTTCTTTGAGTCTCTTGCCAGCAGCCTGGACCTCAGAGATCTGAGGTTTAACTCTGACACACTCTCTGTAAACTCCTGTATATACGTAGGCAGAGATAATGGCAGAACCATAGAGATCGAGGCTCCAGGGGCCAGATTATTCCTGCGCTTGCATGCAGTAGGTATGAGTAAGTGTGATGCCTAGACATACATAGGTGCACCCTTCATAATATCTTCCTACTCTACTAAACACTAGAGATTCGCAGAATGATCAATAACACAAAATATCCCCAACTAGACAATGGAGATTGACTTTTAACAAACCCCCAACTAGACATTGGAGATTGACTTTAACAAACCAATTGCACACTATATGTGTAAACTCTGATCCATAAAGGCTCTGAGTAAGGAGGGGCCCTGACCTTGTGTTCCTCCAGCTGGTTCTTGACACTCTCAATGTCGACTCCCACAGCACTCATTCCCTGTAGCTCCTGGCTCTTGGCCTCCACCCCCGCCATGGCCGCCTCCCACTGCTCCACAAACTCCCGGGCCTGCAAAACACAGAGTCAAACACAACACTTTGACTACAGGTCTTTTGTCTGGTAGTGCGTCTCTCTGTTTTTAACTCTCATCCCTCTGCCTTTTTTCTCACTTCTCTCTGTGCATAATTCGTTTCTCCTTTCCACAAACATTTGTTTGTTAATAAGCCTCTCTCCCAGTAATCTCTCTCTTTTTTCTGTCATCCCAATACCCTGCTCTCTTCACATCTGTCCGTAATTCTGTCTCAATTCTACTTTGTCCATCATGTGCTTGCTTTTACTATGACTTGTGTCTCCCTCCCTCTTACTAGCGATATATCTACCTAACTTCTTCTCTTCCCATCTCTGCACCACTCACTTGCTTCAGTCCGTCTTCCAGGACCCTCCTCCGTGCCACAATGTTTCTCTCCAGAGCCTCGTAGGCCGCCTTGAGACCCGCCATCTTGTCTCCCAGAGCCAGAGAGTCCTCCGGTACCACTTCCTGGCACAGACTGTCACTCACAGCCCCAACTGCTGTCAGGTCACTGCGGCGACCTCCCACCACCCTCTGGAGCTCCTGGGACAGCGAAAGATCTAGTCAAAATGTGCTTTTTAACTTTGAAGTATGAAATCCAGTAACAATCTCATAGGATTGCTGATCTTAATGAGACAGTAGCCACAGCCGAATAAAAGGCACTTAAGAGACAAAATACTCAGGAATGACACACTACCATATTGGTTGAAAGAGTATCGGAGGTATGCAGTGTCAATTATAGCCACAACCCGCTGTCATTGGCAGAGACTGACACAACTACTAATCTATAGAGAAAGGATAGAGTGAATATGTATGTCTACCTCTACTTCAGTGATCTGGGCAGTGACCCTATCAGGAACACCAGCCACTGCTTCAGCTCTCAGCAACTCTTCGTCCTTCGCCTTTAGCCACGACATCAGGCCACTGTAGTACAGAGAGAGAGAGACGCAGAGTGGGTAAATACACTTACGTAGGTTGCACAACCATATCAATGGCTCTAGGTTTGATTCCTGGTTTGAATTTAAGTGTACTGAATATTCTACGTACATGCCTAAGCTTTTCCCCCTGAAGTGTGGTGAACGTTCACATTTTCTACTACATCATTGGTACACAGTACAACTTCACCCACTTGTAGTCCTGGTCAAACTTGTTGGCAGTGGACTGACGGGTTCTGAGCCGGTCTGACCAGTTCCTCACAAGTTGCCCCACCTCCTCGTTAGTGCTGCTCAGTGACGAGTGGAGCTGGGCCAGGTCGTCTGGATACAGGGGAACACAATTCTGACAGTTATTCGATGGAACCTATGGGGAGCTGGTGGGTTCTGTATTGCCATTCTGTAACTGTAACTTAACTGTCTACAAACCTCCCCTACCTCACCCTTTCATCCTCAAGAAACTAGCAATTTTGAGACACGTGTGTAGTTATGTGTGTGGCATGACTTCCCCACTGTTTTCCCCTAGTACTTATGACATTAATAGTCTACAAACCTTCAGTGGACTCAGCGGAAGAGAGTGGTCGGCAGCAAACATGCTGGCCTGTCTTAGAGTCTCTGAGACTGCTGGCTGCAGGTCAATGTACTGCTGCTCCATCACCTGACAGACAATAAACATAATTACATTTCTTAGCTTTGAGACTCCTAACAGGGAAACCTTCTCACTTCTCTTATCAGACCAAAACCGACTTTTTACTTCGACTAGGTGTGGGTGACTGGCTAGGCAAAGCCCGTGTTACTCACGGAAAACTCGGTCCTTTGTCTCTCGATGTCGGGAGGGAGGACCCTGAGAGGAGGATGGTTCTCCAGTCTCTCTCTCCACTCCCTCTCCTGTGCCAGGAGCTCCTTCAGCCTCCCTGCAGTATTGCCCACTCTGTTCAGAGTCTCCTCCAGTTTTAGAGATCCGACCGTCCAGACTTGCCTGTGGAGATAGAGAGCAAACACCTCTGCTAAAGACTAGATGACGAAAGGCACCACAGGAGCTGGCATGAAAATCAGTGTTTGCAGCATGTGGTGGAAAGAATAATTGTCAAAATTAACATAAGCACGGGACTCCTAATTTGGATTATTTACTTGGGCCCACGTATGCTATAAGTGCACGAGTCCGCTGCAGTGATTGTATAAGAGTGTACTGCATGCACGCTCACTCCCTGTCTGACAGTATTTCGAGACTTTTTCTGGATCCACTTTTAATTCAAGAGTGAAGTGCTTCATCATTAGGCTCTCTCCATTTGGCAGGTGAAGTCCTCTATGGTTTATAATGGCTCTACTTCGTTTCATAATAGGTTTGCCTTATGCAAGTGCTTCTCTGCTCATTCTACTCACAATATTATGTACGCTTGATTAATATACCACAAAATGCAGAATTAAGCGGGAAATTTCAATCACTCTCTTTCACAAAGGGCGCAAGAGATTCAGAAAAGAAGGCATGTTTATTGTCATTCTGTTGCAGGATTAATATCACAAAGTGGAGATGATTATAAAACTTGCAGAAGTGTTAATGCTGTTGTGCAGTTTGCCCTTGTTCACTAATGGCCAACAAAGGTACGATGAGAAAATTCTGGCTCTCACTCATGGTCTTCCATAATGCAGTGTTTGCACTCTACTGACAACATCACTGCAGACCTATCAGTATTATGTCCAGGGAAGTACCAAGTATCTTATTCCTGTGGTTTTGCTGTGGCTGAGCACATGTTACAGGTACACGAATTGTACTGTGCAAGGGATGTACAAATCTCATGCTATACTGCTATTAAAGTTATATTGGTGCAAATGGCAACAAGATAAAAATGTCTTGCTGCAATGCAAAACTGTTAAAACATTTTAATGATTCTCATTTCCAGCACTTACTACAATTCACAACTTCGATACGGTTCAAATATTGTGTATCACCAAGAAGTTGTTTGCTGCAGTGGATACAGCAGTGTTGGAGGGGATTGCTTACGTAAGTTCCTTTGTTACCAACTTAACACCTAATAAGACTGTCGCATTGCAGCAACATGCCCCAACTGCCCCGAGTCCCACTCCTGTCTAGCACCTTATTTCTGTGCCTGTCCAGAGAACTGGTCTGGTGAAGGATGCACAGGTGAACACGCCACTACTGAACTATCAAATCTGTTACGCCTACTAATTTCTTGTTCAGAGCCTCCACAGAATGTGGCTCTCACAGCAACTGGGCCCGACACACTGCGTTCAGTTGGTCACCACCTCCACAGTTTCAGGCAACTCTCTATGTTGTCATTTTCCAACGTGCGACTTGACCAGTTTAATCCATCGAGTGATCTGGTCATGGACCTGGACTCGCTGAATACATACACAGCATACACCTGCTGTGTAGCTGCTAACACTGCCTCCGGAGCATCGAGAATAGCCTGTGCCACACATGTCAAAAACTCATGGACGTGCTGTTTCAGGCCTTGACAATATCCTCATGAAACTTTTAAAAATACTGCCCCTTCCGGTTTCGCTCCGAATCATTTCAGGAAAAGGGCAAAGATGTCTGCGAAATATCCTGTACCTAATACAATATATGCAGTTTATAAGAAAATCTAGTAACACTATTTTCTCATTTTTCATTTTAAAGCTCCTGGAGATGCACCACGGAATATGAATTTGAAAACATTGAACTCCACTGCCATACACATCCAATGGGACCCTCCTCTCACTCCCAATGGTATCATCATTCATTACACCGTCTACATCAATGGCATTCCGATTCGGAACATTCCTGACTCCTATGGGACACAAAGTACTTCCGTTGGTGGTTTCACTCCCAACCAAGCTTTGCGTGTTCGTCTGTCTGCTAGTACCAGTGTTGGAGAAGGGCCTAGGACCGCGTCTCAGACCGTGACTACACATGAGTCAGGTGCATGTCGTCTACTATTACTTTGCATTGACTATTCTGTGTGTGGCTGTAGTTCCTGGTCCAGTAAAGAATCTGAGAGTAGTTCCACGCTCGGGGTACATCCTCCGAGTCACTTGGAGCCCTCCAACCTACACTAATGGAGTCCTCATTGGATATACAGTTGTGGTCACAAACTTAGCGGACACCACGGATACCATCCGTAGAATCACTTCAGCCAATTCACCACAGCAATTGACTGTCGACACAGGAATTCGTAAGTTACTCTTGATGCTTACAAGACCGAACACAGCAAGGAGTACCATGGTCTATATAGGTAGAGAAGTTTGCATGCTTCTACACATTCTGTAATACTACACATTCTGTAATACAAAGCACTAGCTTTCATGTTTTCGACTTAACATTTGAAAACGGGTGGACAGTCACAACACGCTGTTGTGAAACACACTCAAGTTATTGATACTGTTGATCTTGCACTGATTCCTAAACACAGCAGTTGCATTGAGTTGGTTACTTTCGTCAGCATACACAGCTATATCTATACCCCCTTGGTCAGTCCCCCACTCCACAAACACACACACACACACACACACACACAGGCCCCTATATAAGATACAGAGTTTCAGTGACTGCCTCTACCAAAGTAGGACCAGGTGACCCAGTTAGAGTAACATTGTATTCACAGCAAGGAGGTAAGTGTTATAGGCTACTTTTCAATTGCTGTTTGGGTCACTTCATTCTGTACTATGTAGCTCCACAGAGCCCTCCTCCGAATGTAAACAGCACTCGAAAGTCACCCACCAATGCCAGTGTAGAGTGGGATGGGATAAGGTGGGAGGACCTGAGAGGGTGGCTGGTGGACTATGAGATTGGGTACGGTTGTGTGATGATGTCTGTCCACCAGCAGTGCCCTGCTAATGACTCCACCTACAATGAGACCATGTCTGTGGATAGAGAGTATGAATTGACTGGTCTAGATCCAGGACTGCAGTACTGTGTGAGGCTGGCTGGGAGGACCAGTGCTGGAGCTGGACCTTTCTCACACACACTCATTCCATGTACGTGTGATAATTATAGTCAATTGCTGGTCCACTTTCATATTTCACGTTTACTAAAGGGTACACCAACAGTCTTTTCACAATCACACTTGAGAAGGAAAACTGCTCAAAATGGATTGTAAGTCAGCAGAATTTTGTCTCCACATCAACACCACTAAATCTCCATACCATTCAGGCAATACAGCCAGCAGAGATAGCCCAAGATATTGCCAAGAGCGTGAGCAACGGGATTGAACTCACTTGCAACTGCACATTCCCCAGCGATTATATTACGGACAGACAGCTAAGTTGTCAAAACAAGAACCTGACATTTAGGGGCAGGATAATAAGTACTCTAGATAGAGAGAGCACTGTTCTCTTGGAAGACTTTCAAACGTGGCTAATGAGTGAACCAACAGTAAAAGCCAAGAGTGAACAACTTAAACTCGCAAGGAACAGAATCAGCAAAGAAGAAACAGAATCAGCAAAGAATGAAACAGGGTCAGCTACTGCCGGCAATGGGAGGATAGAGGACAAGTCTCCAAGTGGGTCTAGTATTGTAGGAGCTACAGTTGGAGGAGTTGTGACTGTTGTAGTTCTACTGCTGGCTGTTGTTGTGTTCATCGTAACTGCAGTAGTGGTGCGGAGGAAACTCAGGTGAGTTAGCCAAGAGGAAGGTTTAATGATATTGATACATGTTAGTTTATCTTAGATGTTTACTTACTGCAGGAGTAAGTCATCTGTGAAGTGCGCACCAGTCAGTATTTTGGATGACGAGACCACCAGGAGTTCTCCCCTTCGAAAACACTCCTTCTCCTCATTGTTTTCCAATCATGGAAGAGACAACACACATCCCCGTAAGACGCCTCTCGGGCCAACATTGACGACACCTCACAATCCTCCAAACACACCACCAAAGCCTCCAGCTAAACCTCTGCGGATATCAGCCAAGACACCTCCGGAGCCTCAAAAGCTACCACTCAAGCCATTGAAAATGCATCCCAAGCCTCAAACCCTACCGCCCAAGCCATTGCTCAAGCCTCCACCACTAACACCTAAGCCATTGCTCATGCCTGGAACACTAGCACTCAAGCCACTGAAAATACCACTGAAGCCTCCATGCAACAACCCTAAACCTCCCGTGCCTCCAAAGATAGTGCCCAAAAACATGCGGAGGCTCCCACCAGTCCCATATGAACTGCCCGTCGCTCAACCTGAAAATGTGTACGAGGATCCTGAGAAAATGGAGGCCAATGGGGGAACCACGAGTCTGCGTAATGCTGCATATCAAGGGGCCGGACGGAGAATGAGGGCAGAAGACATTGAGAAGCTCTACACTAAAGTGAAGAAACGTAACAAGTGAAGATAGCTACATAACTAAAAGTGAAGAAACATAACAAGTGAAGATACTAACTAGTATTAGCATGTATGTTGCACAAGGGATTGCACACAGCACAGCTACCCCCACATAATAACAACTCGCTTTGGAATTTCCTGGTATTTCAATAATTGTTACCTCCCTACAATACGCTCCCTTCAACAGGAAACTGTGGGCGAGCACGCGCGCGCGGCGCAACGCACTCGCTCGCGTCTCAGCCACGCCCTCTTTTTTTGCGCCGCGCGTGGACAGCGCAGCGGAGGGCACGCCTAGCGTTCAGTCGCCTTTACCCGGACGAATATATAGTCCCAGGAAAGAGTCAAAAATTCAACTCCTCAACTCCACGGAGAGGATAAACCTACTGAAGAGCCCTGTATGGTGAAAAGTTGATAGCTTATTGACCTTGTCAGACGCATATTTCTGCAGGTTTTGCTTGAACATAAACGAATCTTCTTACTTTGTGTCCTGGAAGATACCTAAGAATGATGGCTGCACAGCCTTTGCAACTACTGTTGCTGTTGTGCAGTTCAGGTCTACTAGCTACTGCCCAACAAAGGTAAGGCACAGAAGTATCAATTATAACTGCACTGTGACGAAATAATTTCACTCAGCAGCATGTGCACATACACGGAATCTACAGTGGAGAGCTACTCATTTTATGTGCAGGGTGCCTACAGCTCCTCATATGACTGTGGTCTCTTTGATTGGAGCAGGTGCTACCGGTAAGAAAACACTACCCCCTCCTACACAAACAATGCTATTATATATCTCTTACTGAAGTAGTGAGTAAATTCCAAAAATTCCAATAAACTCCCTATCATAGCCTTATACACATCATGATGGTAGGTATTATATCTTGCCCATCCCAGCAAGTACTACCATACTTAGTACTAGACATTGGTTCACAATACACACAGTGTATCTCGGAAGCATTCAATGCGAAATATTGAAACTCGAAAGCAGTACATCAAAACTTATGTTTCATGATGCCGTACCATTTTAATTCGCTGTACGATTTTTCATTTTCAGCACTCGTTACAATTCTCAACTCCAATATGCCTCACATAACGTGTACCATGTTGTAATTGGTTGCTGCAGTGGATACCACAGTGATGGAGGAGAGTGTGTCCGTACGTTTCAAAATAATTATACTTATCCCACTATTTATTATTACTGTTATTCATCATTTCCAGCAACATGTTCCAACTGCCCCGAGTCCCACTCATGTCTAGCACCTTATTTCTGTGCCTGTCCAGAGAACTGGTCTGGTGAAGGATGCACAGGTTAACAAAATCATTTAAAAGGTCGCAGTTTAAATGTTTTTTTTACTCAGAACCTCCTCAAAATGTAACACTCAATGCAACTGGGGCTGATAAACTAGAGATCAGTTGGTCACCACCTCCAGAGTTAGCTGTAACTCTCTACATTGTCATTTTTCAAGATGAAACGTATCACGTTGATCCATCGAGTGATCTGGTCATGGACCTGGACTCACTGAATACATACACAGCCTACACCTGCTGTGTTGCTGCTAACACTGCATCTGGAGCGTCGAGAATAGCCTGTGTCACAAAAACCACCCAGGAAACAGGTATTAAACCAACCACCTAGCATACATTCTTGAATGGTGTTTGTTCAAACAACGGTTGTAAATATGAAAAACATAGGTGAGAATTTAGCTCTAACAAGCAGTAAGCAGCTTGTAAACACAAGCAGTAAGATAAAACACCCTTCACGCCCTGTGGGTCCAACACCAAACAAGTTGGCTTGCACAACTCTGGCTAGTATTCTAAAAATCATGTCTGTGGCACTATCAGGCCAAGACCCAAGACACTAGTGAAAGATACACGACGGGGCATGATATTCACAACGAGAGGGCGCTGAACATTCAGACAATAAATATGCACTTTTACATCATTTCAGCTCCTGGAGATGCACCAGTAAATGTGATAGTTCAGATCTTAAACTCCACTGCCATACACATCCAATGGGACCCTCCTCTCACTCCCAATGGTATCGTCATTCTTTACACCATCTACATCAACAGCAACCCACCCCTCAATGTCAATGCTACAAGTGGTACTCGAAACATCTCCCTTAGTGGTTTCTCTCCCAACCAAATGGTGACTGTAACTGTTTCAGCTAGTACTAAAGTTGGAGAAGGTCCACGCTCAGCGTCTACTAGTGTTGCCACTCACGAATCAGGTGCCACATAATACCATTCACTGTGCCATCCATGAACTAATACATTTTCTACTTAGTTCCAGGCCCAGTTGAGAATCTGACAGTCAGTGCGTCAGCCTACATGCTCCATCTGATGTGGAACCCTCCAACCTACCCAAACGGTGTCATCACTGGATATACAGTCTTGGTGACAAACTTGATAAATGATACGGAAACGATTCAGTCCAATGTACCTCCCAGTTCACAACAAATGACTATCACCAGTGGAATTCGTAAGATAGACAATAGCTGTACGATTATGGTACTGATATGCTAAGAGTAGTCAGTGTAGAGACACAAACAAGTATAACGGCCTACACAAAACAAACTGTGAAGGCATCATAAATAGCTATACAGAGAGTTGCATAAGATTCCCATGGTTGAAAGATAACAGAGCACTGCGGTATCTCACATCGTAAACAAGACCACTGCAATAAACCCTAACAACTAACCCCAGCATATTTACATGTACTGTAGGTCCGTTTGTGAGGTACAATGTCTCAGTGACAGCTTCAACTGGAGATGGACCAGGAGAATCTGTTGAAGTAACACTGTATTCACAAGAAGCAGGCAAGTATCTACTCTAAAATGTCTATGTGAAGGTAACTGTTTCTTTACTTATGTAGCTCCACAGAGCCCCCCTCCAAATGTTACTAGCTCTAGAACCTCAGCCACCACTGCTAATGTAGAGTGGGATGATATAGACTGGAAGGACCTGAGAGGGTGGCTGGTGGACTATGAGATTGGGTATGGTAGTGTGATGATGTCTGCCCACCAGCAGTGCCCTGCTAATGACTCCACCTACACTGAGACCCTGTCTGTGGATAATGAAGGAGAGTACGAATTGACTGGTCTAGATCCAGGACTGCAGTACTGTGTGAGGCTGGCCGGGAGGACCAGTGCTGGAGTTGGACCTTTCTCACACACCCTCATTCCATGTACGTCATTTTTTAAAGCTGTTATCCATTACCGTTTGTCGTAACAAAATCTCCCTAACTCTATATGCAATAGGGTATTTCAACAGTTTATTCACACTTACACTGGAAAAGGCAAACTGCACAGAATGGATTGTGAGTTACGTGAATTGCTTTGCACTGTGTATTTCACACACACAATTTGACACTGCAGGCACAGGATCCGGAAGAAATAATGCTGGACCTTGCCAGAGATATTGGCAGGGGTGTCGAACTTATATGCCACTGCAAATTTCCCGAGAAATATATTGCAAATGGACAACTGATGTGTCAGAACGACAGCCTAATATTATACCAGGGAAGGATTATAAGCACTAATGACAGGAGCAGCAGTGATCTCTTGGCAGACCTTGAGAAATGGCTGTTAAGTGAGCCGACAATAATCGTCCAGGGAGAAGTGCTCAAAATAGTTAAAAGGAAATCAGCTACTGAGCTAGTAACTCTCAGTACAATCCCTGAGAAAACCCCTGCCATAGAACGACCAGTAGAACAAACAGAGACTTCTTCAGACGATATTCTAGCGCCTATCTTTGGCGGTGTGGCTGGAGTTGTTGCTGTTCTGGTTATACTGGCGGTTGGAGTTATTATGACTGTCGTGGTGCTCCGCAAGCACAGGTACATTATGTAGCCACGTATGTTTTATCTCTAGAGGGTTGAGTAGTATGCTTACATTAGGTACATAATATCGCAGATGGTAGGATAAAAGAGGGACCTTGCATTTGCAAGACCTGACACTTACCGACAGAGCTACTCAGGCCTGTTATATGAAGTAGCATAAAACAATAGCTATTCTGAATGGTACCATAGGTGTACGTATAAAATTTGCTCATCTTTACCACAGAAGCAGCAGCAAAAGTATTGATATGAAGTGCAAGACAGACAGCTCTGCAACTAAACCGACCACCACTATGAAGCGATACACATCCAACACTTCCACTGCATCACTATCACTGGGCGTTGCAAAAGACTACGAAAAGCCGTTAAAATCCGCGACCATAAAGCAAGACCGAAAAAAGCAGGAGATGCCGCTCGATTACGAAACGCTTGTCGCTGAGACTGAAAACGTGTACGAGGATCCTGATGCCATGACAGAGTCAACCGCAGCGGAGGATTCGTCTTACCTCGCAGGCTATGAAGTAATGGCACCAGCAGAAAGGTTGTACGAGAGTGGGGAACAGGCGAGGAGATGCCGCTCGATTATGAAACGCTTGTCGCTGAGACTGAAACGTTTACGAGACCTCATGCCATGACAGAGTCAACCGCAGCGGAGATTCGTCTTACCTCGCAGCTTGAGTAAGTGCACCAGCAGAAGGTTGTACGAGAGTGGGGAACAGGCCGAGGAGACCTACTCTGAATTGTACTGAAGAACACGACACAAACAAAAGGGACTTTGTTGCATATTTCCAATTTTTTTTCTTTCGTGCAGTAAAGTGTATATACTTCGTGAATCATAATGGCAGGACTCATGTATCATTGCACAGTACTGCAAATAATATCCAACTTACCTTGTCGTGCATGTATTTGTCTCACCCCCCACCCCCAGCACGTGTAGATATAAGTATTAAATGTACAGTAGTGTACCCGCTTACCGTGCTATGTATGTACCTTTCTCATTGAAAGTCACCTCACATTCATTTGTTTTGTATATAGACTTTCTCCCACCCGTAAACAGATTCTTAAGTTTACAAAGTAGCCCGACTTTACTGGGAACTGAACGAGGCCTACCTGGAGGGTATTGTATCTCTGCTCCATCTTGGTGTAGCCAATATCAGCCACTCCCTCAGCTCTATTCTCCATTACGTAATCCTCCAGAGCTCTGCCACCTGAGACCAGGGCTGTCAGTGCGGGCTTACGTCCTTTCACCTCTTCCAGTAGAGCCTGTATGGAAGAAGGAGCTGACCCTACTTTCTAGTAGTTTACATCATAGCCCCATACATCTATAATGCTAGGTACCACGCCCGTCCCTATATACTAAGTACTACTGTACTTAGTATATCTTGGAAGAAGGAGCTGACCCCACTTTCTAGTAGTTTACATCATAGCTCCATACATCTATAATGCTAGGTACCACGACCCGTCCCTATATACTAAGTACTACCGTAGAAGAAGAAGAAGATGAACAAACTCCCTATCATATCCCAATACATCTATGATGCTAGGTACCATGTCAATCCCTATCACAAGTACTACTGTACTTAGTGATTGAAAGTCTAAAGGCAGACTATTGGAGAGAACAGACTCTACTAAGTGTTGCAGTGAAAGCCAGATGCGAATTAACATGGTGAAACGTACGTAATTCACAAAGGTATATAGTACATAAGAAAAATACACTTTATGGTTCTTCATTCTTCACTGAGGAAGTACATATAATGGCATATACATGTAAATAAAAAATACATCAAGAAAATTAAAATATTACTTCTTCACTCGGGAAGTATAAGGGAGGGAAAACCTTCCAGTTTAGAGAGGTATAATATATCCTTGCAGAATACATGTGTAAGCACAGAACTTCCACACAGTGTGCAAAGTTGAGGTACACTTTACCTGCTGTTCGTTTAGTTGTCTGTTGATCTCAGACGGATCTCCGTCGACCTTGAGAGCCTCTGCTGCCTTCTCCACACAGCCACTCAGCCAAGTGTCAAACTCACCGTAGCCCTCCTGTCATCACGAACAAACACATTAACTGTCATTAACCCTCGGCGCGCATGCGCAGCGAGGGTTACTGTAGTTGGTTTGTCGGTCTGTCTGTCTGTCTGTGTGTGTGTCGACGCTTATTCTGGCACTACAGGCTACGAGGCGGCCCATTAGCGATACCAGCGGCTTCAGAACTACGCGAGCCTGAAAAATAAAAGGGCGATTTTGCTGAAACGACTGCGTTCGAGAGATATGCTGTGAAAACAAGCGAAAAAGCCAATATGCATAATCGCACTGGGCTCACCGCGACCTGATCCGCTCGCTCTGTGTACCTTGGGGGCTCAGGAAGTCACGAAAAATGGTATGTATCGACTCCCGAATGCTATCTACCACTGTAGCTAGCCCGTGTCAGATTCTCCGCGGGTTACTAGCATACAAATAGCCCAGCCCATCAATTAGCAGTATCGCGCATGCGCAGTTCGCCAAGGGTTTGCACTTTAGTGCTTTTCATTTAACATTGTGCTGCTGTAAACCCAAAAGTTTAAACTACAAAGTGCCTCACGCTGTAACAGGTACATTAAGAGAATTATCAGCGGAACTTTGCAAGAGAGATGACTAGAATAATGGGAGTCTGCACAGACGGAATGAATGGGACTGTTATAAACCTGGTATTTCTCAGCCAGCTCCAGAGCTCTCTTCAACATCTCCTCTCTCTCTGACAGAGCAGCGAGACACTCCCCCCACGACTCATTCAACTCTGCCAGACTCGACCGTCCCGACTCGCGAGAGAGCTCGTCTCGACATCCATCAACCAGGGTCGTCCCCCTGGCATTGACTGACTCCAGCCTCTCTCTAGTGTTAGTGAATCCTCTCTCAAGATCCTGATGTTACAGTGACAGTGAAGGAGAATTCTCACACAGTATACTATGTACTATGAACATTTACCCACTCAACTAACCTCGACTTCTGTCAGCTGGGCTCTGATGGTTTCCACGGTGATACCAGGTGGTGCGAATCCGGCTATGGTTGAACTCTGACCCCCGAGCCACTCCTTCATATGACAGCAGTCAGCCTCGTAGCCCAGTACTGTCTGGAGCAGCTGAGCCGCCTGGAGACATTAGTAATCTTCTTACATAACTAGATGCAATTTACCTCTTACATATGCAGTGTGTATTTATAGATGAAATGTACACCTCATATATACATAGATGACAATTACCTCATCTGCCTTGTTTCCGGCCTCAGTCTTGAGGGCAGCGTAGCGGGCCCTGATATCAGCTCCCACCACCACAGCCTCAGTGGCTCCGGGCCTCTCAAGCCACTGGGGAAGGTCTGACGATGACTCTACAACCTCATCTCTGGTATAGCCAGTCCCCCTCTCTCCCTGCATTCATCATAGCATTTACTAGACGATATGCACATACATACATACATACACATGGTAGTTGCTACCTTTGTAACTCCCAAGGACTCAAGTGAAAGATGCTCAGGTTTCACAGGTGATACATGCATTGCAAACCCATTGCATTTATCATAGCACCAATGAATGTAGCTCCATGGTATATATATATACGTACCATGGAGCTACAATGTAGAACAGTTTCGACTCACCAGTGAAGGAGGAGGTAGGGGAGAGGCGAGAGAGACGAGCGAGGAGTGGACGATCTCCTGGTGACCGCCGCCTGTCGGAGGACCCCGGGCTCGCAGCTCAGAATGGAGGCCAGGGCAGCGGAGAACAACGTCTCCTCCGATTGAGTCATCCCCTCGACTGCTGGTCCATAGGACTCAACCTCTTGCTGGAACTCCTGTGGTACGACACGGGGACCAATATCTCAGGTCTAATACTGTAGAATCTCTGAGATAAGGACACTGTGAGAGTATGGGACACAAACGTTTCAGACTGCCTTGTTTTCTGGCCATAGGTGTACAAAAAACTATTCCGTTTTGTTACCAGAGTTAGAGAAAAACTTATAGGTATAGCTAACTGACGTTTCGGAGCCCTCACGGGAAAAAACAACTTCTCAATAAAGGACACATTATAAGTTATATACTAAATGTCAAACATTCACTTTCTTAACCTCAAAAGAGAAAAAACCTCCATAGAAAGGACTCCAGTACATATTTAACCTCAAAAGAGGGGAACTGAGACACTTAGCTCACACTGATCTCCAGTTCCTGCCTGGTGAGAGGCTGGGAGGCGATGGAGAGAGGATCTCGAGACCTCAGTCGTGACTCAGCCTGCCCCAGCCACTGGTCTACCACAGTCACACCTCCTCTCGTACTCCCTAGCTCCCTCCAGAGCCTCCTCCAGACCTGTAGTACAGTGCGGACAATACTGCTACGTGATGGTTCATATAATGTACACCAGTACTGTATATATGCACGTGTGCAATAAGATCATCATGCACATGTGAAGGTGCATGGAATGTGCAACTTTATCTATACATAGAGACGTACAGTATTATGGCACATCCAAAGCTGCAGTTAATGGCTATTGGGTGAGGATTAGCAACTTTATCTACTGAGAGAGAGAAAGTGGAAAAATATAGGACTTACGTATGCGTATTATGCTATGATACTCACCTAGTAAGCAAGTACGTAATTGAGATATGAATTCATGCTATGTACTTAAAAACTGTAAATACATACCTCTCATTCTTTCATCGGCTGCGTTCTGGAGTTCAGCAAACTGGCAGGACAGAGCCTCCAACCTCCGGTCAATCTTCTCCCTCTCCTCCTCCTCACTCTCCTCCTTCAGAGAGCTCCCCAGAGCCCTCGTCTTCTCCACTGTTTCTCCGTACGCTGCGACGTCTGTTAGGATCGGCTGGAGAGCGAGTTGTTCATGACACACAAGATCAAAAACCAAGTTTGGTACATTGGATCCCGCGCATTGTTAAAATGATTATACAAAGCCACATTTTATATGCATGATGGAGACACTCACATAATATCAGAGAATGCCACGGAATAAAAATCATCAACTGAAAGACCAACAACATATAGATTCTCCATTGAACTAAAATTGCTGTGATCGTGACTGAAAGTACTCACTAGCCCGAATTATAATTTTAAGCCGCACAAACACAAATTATACGTACTGCGTACCTTGAACCCTTCGATCTGGCCTTCAACCAGATTAACCCGTGCGGCAATCAGGTCTTGTTGATTGAGGGTTCCCCCCATTCCTGTCATCCACTGCTCCAGACCGTCTACAGTTACATGTACAGTTGTAGGTGTGTTACATACATGTTGTAGGTGTGATCATGTTATTGACTATTATATCACATTGTGCAGAGTACAGTAAGAAAGTTTCATGGAGTTGTATTAGGGGAGCTACGCTCTATACTTCATAGTGCTTACATCAATGCGTAAGATGTATGAATTTCTACATATTAGAGGACTAAGATACCAGTACACTTTCTCAAAGTGACGTAATGTACGCCTCAATGCATAATTTCACAGAGTGTGTGGTCTTTGCTAAGACTCAACATCATGCAGCACCTGCAATGGACTTGAACTCTTGGGTTTGGACCAAAGCCTCCGTCAGTTTAGCCAGCACATCTCCAAACAGAGCTCCCAGCCTTTCCCAGTCGTCATGGAGACGGGAGGTGTGGTCGTCGAGGGCGGTCTTGGGGTCACCGGGATCGGTGAGGGAGGAGAGAGAGCGGGCGTTGTCGAGGCAACCGGCACAGACCGGGGCCAGAGTATTGTATTCACCCTTCATCGCCTGTTGAAAAACAGTTGTGAAGTTTGAGGAAATGCATCGGTACGCAGTGGCGGATCCAGGGGGGTTCCTTGGGTTCCGCGGAACCCCCCTTTTTGTCGTTTTGCGTGCATGCGTCGCCGCCCTCATGCGCGCTTGAAAATGTTCCGGACAGCGGAATCCCCCTTTCAAAATCCCAGATCCGCCACTGGTACGTAAACAATAGGCCTGGAGAATTCAATTAGGTTTCCGTTTTTAGCAACATAAATTATTAGTATTATAAATCGAGCCCTTATATACTGCTATATACACCAAACTTACGTATAGGGCCAGCTTTCAGAACTACTATATACATGCCCCAGTATAAGTACACGCATACCTCGATCTTATTCTTCCTCTGTTCCACAGCCTCGGGTTCCGTCGGACACGCCCCCAGGCCTTCCAGTCGAGCCAGGGTGTCTGGTATCCATGGAAACAGCCGCTCTAGGGCATCCTCGTAGGGGGCGGCATGAGAGTGGGCGGAGTCTAGTTTCTCCTGGCACTCGCTGAGCGGGTTGAGGTGAATAAATTGCTGATACTTACATACACTGACACACTCAAGGACAGTCTTTAAAGAGTCCATGAGTGGTCAATGGAGAATTATAGTGCACAAGATTTAAATTCAATGGGAATGTGGGAGTATATATATATATAGAGTTAAATTTAGAAAATGTTACTAAAAACAGAAAGTTAATGTATATACATACGTCTGTATACCTGAGTTGTTGTTGAAGTTCCTCCCACTCTCTGTTGACGTCACTCAGTTGCTGCAGAAGAGCCGCTCTCTCCTCGTTGTCGGCCGAGAGTTCAGAGGTCAATTCCTGGACAAGTGAGTGGAGTTTGGCCTTTTCATCTGCACGTGACGCCACGTCTTCCATCATTGCCTGCACAGAAAAGATGCGAGTATTTTAAATTGAACATGCATAAAAGCACTGCACAAATGCTTAATGATTGACAACACAAATAGATGAGCCTACCTAATGAAATGTGGCAGTACACACACACATAAGGGCAAAATTTATAAAAGTTACTAAAGACGGAAAAAACAATCGGGCAAGAATGCAAATAATTACAGCCAGATGTACGTGTCAAACACCACAAACCTGGCATTTTGTCTGCTGCTCCTCAATGACTGCACAGCTGGGATCCCTCACTCTCAGTTCCTCCAATCGGCCACGCCCACTTTCAGCCACACCCCCACTCCCTCCAGTATTCCCTGACACTCCCTCGCCCTCTCCAACTGCCGCTCTCTCTCACCCAGACATCGACCCAGTCTCTCTCTCAACTCCTCCAGCCTCCTCTCGTAGTCTCCCAGTTTCGCTTCCAGCTCACACTGCCCCGGTCTCGGAGCATTCCAACCGGGTTTCCCTGGAGACGAACCCCGACCTTTGGGTGTTTCCGTGGAAACGTCGTCGAGTTTTCTTGCCGACAAACTCGGCACTGGAGTCGCGGAGTTCAGAGCGAGATGCCAGGAGTTGTGGTTCACGTGGTGGTCCCCCGCAGAGAGTGTGGGCTTCTTTCTTGAGAGAGGTGAAGTCCGGTTCGTGGTCATAGATTGACTGCAGTAGATCCTGAGATGTACAAAATTACGAAAAACAGTAGAGTTGGCAAACATCAAGATTTCACAATGATAAATTAAACATAAACTGGTAGCCGAAGTTGAAAAGCAAGAACTTCTAGAGATTAATCTGGACCTGGTAATTAATCAACATTTTCAGCAGCTTTTTAGACCTCTTATGAACAAAAGTAGTTGGCTCACTCCGACTAATTAAATCTTTTCAGTGGCTTTTTAGAGACCAATGTGTATAATATAATAGCTCTAAGTTGGCTCAAGAACAAAATACAAAATACAAGGTTTCTACAAATGGTGTCCACTCAATAATACATATTTGCAGGATACCTTGATTGCTTTATCTGCTGTTCGACAAGGGCAGGTGTGGTTGCCGGGGGAGACAGGTTAGCAACAGTCTCCTCCCAGTTCTCGAGTATCTGAAGCCACGCCCCCTGCGATGATTCATGTTGTTGAACAATCGGCAGAAACTCTGCTAAAACGGTTTCTCTCTCCGTTGTGGCCGCTTCCAGCGAGTTGTAGCGATCCCACACCCTCTGGAGCTCTTTGGCAACTGCCGACGCGGTTTCGTCTGGTTTGGTAGGCTGTGGTCGCCCCCCAGGGGTGGGGGGTGGTGTGCAACACTTGGCCGAAGCGGCGTCCAGGTTCAGCAGCTGTGGTCTGTAGTCAGCAACCGTCTGTTTGAAATCCTGCATCTTCTGCAGCTGATCCTGTTTGGTGCATGAGTAATGAGGACAGAACGCGTGGAAGCATGAGTCTGATTCTGTGACGAAAGATGCTATGACGTGCGGATGTAGGGCAAATTACACTCACTTCTGCAATCAGTTGTGCAACCCTCATTTCATACCTGTCCCAAATTGTAAAAATAATCTGTTTCGAGTTAGCAGCGCTGGCATCACATGCGCATAAGTCATAACAGCCTAGCATTATCATTTGTCGCATATCCATAGTCTGAGACATACATATCTCACCAAGGTAATTCAGTGACTTGGACAGCACAGGACACATGAGCTAGATTTGGAGCGAGCGGTCACGTCAAAGCCAACGCGACGGAACCGGGTAGAGGTACCATCGGCATCGGACCCGTGGACACTGGTACCGTCGTAGCGACAGGTCTGGAGACGGCGCCGAGTTCTGATGGTCGGATCATCAACCAGAGTGACGACGTCATCACAGCCGTCATCCAGTTGCGAAGGGCTGCTCCGTGGTCATTACAAACAAATCGTCACTCGTTCCTATAGTTATGCATAAGAATTTGAATTTTCAACTACAATGCTGGCTGGCAGAAAAAGTCACCCACAGCGACAGTGGCACGAAGCTATAAGAACTGCGTGTCAATAACAAGGTAGCAAGGCTAAGGCAAAGCAAAAAAGACGCACATTCCGTCAACGCACAAGAACCTGTTCAAAAACACCATGCGCATTTCCCCCTTCTCTACGTTGCGCGCCTCGACGCATGCCACAAAGTGCGTATGGCTCGCAAGACTAGGCAAAGCACACAAGTCGCACATAATACAGTGACTATGTTATGCGCATCAGCCTGAGTGTATAAGAGCTCTTTATAGGGGGGGTGCTCAAAACGTGCTTCATTTGTGTAACTTCGTTCATATTATACCACTTCAAGTTTAAGACAGCCTTTGCAGTGGCTAGTTTGCTGATCTCTCTCGCTCCCCTCCACGGCAGGTGGAGAGAGAGCAGAGAGGGCCACCTGGCTCCCCCGCGGCCAGACTGAGACTCAGAGAACTGGTCCTCCATTGGCACCAGCTTCTTCTCCATTACTGTCAGTGACGCCTGCTTCTCCTGCCTCAGTCTACAAGGATGAGAGATACGCAATGCATACTTTCTAATTGACAGAGAAGACACAAGTGCCACTGTTAAAGTGCAGCAAAATTTTATTATAGCCACGGTAAAAACAGCGTTAGCGCAGCAAAATTTTATTAAGTCACAGTAAAACAGCTACATAATGTGTATAGTGATGTGTTTTAATGTACGTATGCATGTACATATCGCAGGCAGACAGTGTTCTCGGAGGGCGGTCGAGGCGTGACGTCGCTCTCAAACTGGTGTGATCAAACGGAGTGTCGAAAAGTCACATGACTGGAGGAGGTCGTCGAACTTTGACCTCTCCTGTTCCACCTCTCCGTGTACAGCCTAAGTCGGAGGGAAAATTTACAAACAACTGCTACATAACAGTGATGTACTGTTGGATGATGCTGTAAATAAGTAGAACCACAGAATCTAAGAGTTTGTAGAAGATAAAATGGCACATATGTAGCTCTCCAATACAACTGTTGCTATCGCAACGTACTACATTCACCCCTGCACCAAATTTGGCCACAACAGTCAGTGGGGTTTCTAATGCTTGAACATTTGCAAGACCCTTCGTCTTAACTACGTGCGTATTATTCCAACCTTGAGAGCCGATCTCTTGGAGGCGACACCCATCACTGGTGGTGGCAGAGGTACCGACTCCTGATGTCTACGGCCGCACGATGAGACGGAGGAGGAGACGACGGAGTAGCTGGAGTTGAAGGCCTCCAGTCTCGGTATGGTGGACTCATGCTTCTATGTCGTCATTCACTATCTCAGGGGAAGAGGAGGAGGAGGAGAGGAGGAAACAAGTGTGTGAGGGTAACTGCTTATCTACTAGAGACACCCAAAGGTAAAGTGAGAGAGGTTATAGTTTGGCAGGAAGATTATTGATGTTTGAAAGTAGAAGGAATGTTGCTGAGGTATTTGCGTGACTATGAGTATGATTTACTTGGGGAGTGGTGTAGGGGGAACTGAGGTGGTGGGGGTGGGTGGCAAAAAAATTTATGGATACTTGCAAGTGGGGGGGGGGGGGGGGGGGGGGGGGGGTGGGGGGGGCAGCAGAAGCTCTCACGATTATGATACTTTTTGGTAACTAAAACATTCTTGCAGACGATGACAAATCGCTAAAAAGCCGAAAGGTCGCTCACCAGAACAGCATTCCACCTCTGCTGGAGGTTGTCATGTGTTCCTCTGCAGCCCTCCGGTTCGCCGGCCCCTCGACCAATCAGATCGCAGGCACTCCGGCAGGCCTTCTTCTCAAAGGCGGCCTCGTGCGCCGAATGTCTCCGATATACCCTGTAGGTACGCCACCAGCCCTTGTTTGAACTCCTCACCTCCAATTTCAGCGGATCTGTCTCTCTGAATCTCCTCTCAGTCTCTCTCAGCTCCAAGAGTCAAAGTCTGAGAATATATCTTGAAAAGCCTGCGCACTGAGTAAAGGTTACAGAGACCACGATCAAAGTATTGTGTAGGGGCTCTACGTGGAATCTAGGTATCAGCCCAAGAGGCTAGCACGTCAGCAGCAGCCGCGACGTGGCATTTGTCGAGAAACATTCAGCACCCGTTTCGTAGGTATACATAAGCGAATGTTATACTGAGATAGTTCATAATACAGGCAGGAAACCAGGCTTGCTCTGGGCCTCACTTCAGACAAGCGAGGTGAAAAAGTTAGTCCTCCATTCTCGGTAAATTTGAACTCCCACACTGAGAAGTGCCTGTGTACTACGACATACCTGACACTCGGCTTACTACTGAGCTCAGCATATCAAGCATGATCTTCATTCTAGCCAGCTCGGACCACAAACTCGTACTGTGCCGCCTCCCCTCAACGTCTCCCCTGCTCTCCTCCCAGCCTCGCTTTCTCGCTCTCCCTCCCTCCTCCATACCTCCCCGGCCCCTCGATTTACAGAGCTCGTCCAGGACGCGCACCTGCCGACTGCAGTGCCTGGATTGCTGTGTCTCCATGGCATCGTCACTGCAGCACTTCTACCATCTGACAGCAGGTTCAAAAACCATTGATGACACAAACTAAACAAATGCAACAACTTATCATAGAACAATGACTGTACCTATAGTAGACAACAGCCCACAAAAATACGGAGAATAGGAAAAAAGCGGGAACCAACCCTCTATTCAACTACAGAACTAACGCTCTTCGTACGCTATCACGGTACTCCCAGTCTGTCCGATATCTTTTCCCTTACCTCTCTCCCAACCTTGCAGCCGACTGCGCTCCTCCTCCAGCTCCTGTAGGCGTGGCATCACACAGCGTCTCCAGGCACAACCGTCAAACTCGGCTCTCCTCTGGCGAGCTTCCTGGGCACTCCGTCTCAGCTGGGCGGAGCCTGTTGACCAGAGGCGTCGTACCTCTTCCTTATAAAACGCTGAATATCCTGAAGGATATGTCACATAGCCCTGGGTTTACATATGCGATATAGGACTTTCTGTCGTTTCGTCTGCTACTGGTCGTATCACTCAATGTAACAAAACAACAAATGAAAAACACACGAAATGACCGAAGACAACGGACGAAACGAAAAACAAAAATCTACTGTCTTATCTTAGAGATAAAATTGTGTTCGAAGTACCTTTGACTGTGGTGATCCATTCTCATACTCCATATCTGTCTGAATTCTGAGCCGTCGTCGTGACAACGTCGGCGTCAGGATCACAAGTAGCTGTGACTGATCTTTGTAGACCTCGTCAGTTCCGACCTTTGCCTGAATTCTGCTGTAGTTGGCTGATATGGCTGAATTGAGAGAGAGAGAGAGGTACGACCTTTTGTAAAAGATGGAAGGGTCTTATGACAAAATTTTCACAACTTCCACATAAGAGGTCTTAAAAACAGTAGCAGGGATTCACAAATTGATTGAAGTATTACAACAGCCACAACAATGTGTGTATAGATTAAGTATAACCATGCCACACCCAGGTACCCCCCCCATTGAACAGCTATTAGCATAACACGATCAAAACGCAATTTCCACAGAAAAACAGTTACGACTCGACGATGATATGCAAAATAAAACTCCATCTGAACTCCAATCGAATCTTTTAATTATTGGTAGTCCCTGTGAAGATTGTTTCAGTTGTTGAATCTACTACAACAACCCCACACGGACTTGCAGCCGACGAACTTCGGCAGAAGCTATGTTGAAGGAGGCTCACAGTGGTCTTTCCCCATCCGGCGTCCAGATCTGGACCCCCTGGCCACTCTATCTCCTCTAACACCAATATGGTGGGCTTTAATGTCAAATAACGGGCATACCAATAAGTCCTTCTCTCGAGACAAATGACCCCCGAGGATGTCTCCCCTTGTTACACGACTCTCCCTTTCCCCCCCTTTTTTCCTCCCCCCTCATAATCACTATTCATGACAAAACTCTGGTTTATGTACAGGTTTGAATATTTATAATTTCTATAGTAATACACTTATATTAGTATTTTGTCAAAGGCAATTGTCTCCCGTAAGCTTGAAATCTAATATAGTAATGGGAGGCATAACTGGGGGGGCCCATTACCATTCACAAAATTTCTACCCAGATAGGCATTTTCCACACACCAAAAAACGACTAAAACCAACCCCGCCACGCTTTGGAGGCAAAACGTCGACTGCGCAATCTATCTTAAACTCAAACGACTTATATTACACACATCAACACAAGTTCCAAACACTCAATGGCCCAATGTCGTTGATAGTGCCACGCGAGCTTTTTTACTCAAGTGGAAGATGAGCAACTCGTCAACAAGGTAGTTTGGATATCGAGTCGGCCCCCCCCCCATTCCTAGCAACCGAGGGGGGTGTGGCCCCAGCAGGTAGAGACCCGTTCGACCCTTCTTCACTCTCGGCGTTTTCGAGAACCGCCCCCCACCTTGACCTTAGT